TCATATGCATTATAATTGTGTTGTTTGTGTTATAATATGTATAATGATTGAATTTGGATGATTCAAGTGTTGTGATGTATGTGTTTAAGTATGTTTACAAGGGTATGTGATACTTGAATGCATGAATGATGTTTTTGGGGAAGTTCCCTCATGATTTAGGGTTGTTGCATGTGTGTTTGCAGACTTGAATTATGTCCAAGATGTGTTTTGTTTCGCAAATAATCGATTATCACTTATGATAATCGATTATCCCTTCTTGTATGACGTTTCTAGGTGATTTTTACTAAGATAATCGATTATCAAAAGTTATAATCAATTATCACAGTGTATATTGGTGAAAAATGGCGAATTTGATGAAGAATGAACATGGTTCAAGCCTAGAAAGTAGTAAAACGCGTTGGTACTAAAAGAATAAGAGTAATGAGCATGTTTGAGGTCAGTTTTGACATGTAATTGTGAATTGGAGTATGAATGAGTGTTGGGATGTACGGAAGCATGTGATTGATGAGCATGAGAGTGAAAGATAAGTCTACTTGTTGTACCTATTAAATCCTGGTGTTATCTGCTGATAGGTGTTTCCTTTTGCCTTGTGTGCATTGGAAGGGTTTTTCGGGTATTGAGCCTTTCTTGTATGGGGTGAAGGTGTCTTCCTTGTCCTTGTGTGGCAGGATTTACATGTTCCTTAGCTAGATTGTGTGACTACTCAAATGTATCTGTATGGAGAATCTACATATGGGACTGTAGGAGCGACTATAGTCAGTGAGGTAGGGTACATGAGTGTGATTGATTCTTTCCACTACTATGGTGTTTATGGTATGATGATGCTCATGGTATTGTTCATGATTGAGATAATCATGATGGTGGTGTATCTATGATGTTGAGATTCTCCAAGTGATGTTATGTGATAATGGTGTTACTATAAGAGTATAGTAAGTAGTTAGCATAGGTTCTAAGGAGTGGATAAGCAAATAGTTTATGTGTGAGATATTAATGATGACATCCAGAGTTGGAGATCAAAGATCGATGATCGATGATCGAGAATTGAGTAATTCGTTTAATTGAATTGTTATGTTAGAGGATTAGGAATCCTATTGTTATTACTATTATGTATGAGGTGTTTGATTATTATTGATTTAATCAGTATGTTTATATCATGTTATTGTGAGTGTTTTACCGATAGCTTACCCCATACATATTTGTGTTTGTGTATGTGAATGTGATGATCGTAGAACGTGTGATGTTATACGTGAGCAAATGATGTTGCAGATAGTGCTGAGACATGATAGATTCGAGAGATGATGGGGACAAACTTGGGATTTTATTTACAGTTATTATTTTTGAACTTTGCGACAATGTAATTGAAGTCATTTCATTTTCTTTGTTATTTCTATTGGACAAATGTTTTTGGAGCTATTATGTTTTATGCACGTTTAAATGTTGAGTTTTTTTGAAAATACATTTTCGCACTATAAGAAAGTTTTGAAATTTCACCCATTTTTGAATAACTCGTGACACCCTGAAATTTGGGGTGTTACACTTAAGGTTTTAGGTTGAGAATGATGTCAATCCCTTATGTGATTGGACTTAGGTGTCATTGGTGTTGTGTCTCCTTAGTGAAATTGGAGACCTAAGACCATACACAAGAAGTAAGCCTATCAAGGGAGAATCAAATGAAATTGAGGGGAAAGAAAGTGAAAGAGAAAAGTGAGATGAGTGAAACACATAAATAGAGTAAGAGTGAAACACCTAAAAAGAGAGAAATACATGAGAGAAAAGAAAGGATTAGTGAAAGTGAGTGAAGTGAAAAAATTGTTACCTTACAATAAACCTTTATTTACTTTATGGCAAAAAGTAAGTATAATGTGACTAATAATTTTAACGTATTTGATTTATCTCTTTTCCGTGCAAATGATGAAGCTTTGGAAATGATTTCAAATCTTTCTCAAAAAAGAGATAATGATGTGAACATCAAAGTCCAAAGACATGACGAGGATCAAAACCTAAACTTAGGTAGACCCATGAGAAGAAGAAGGCTTAAAAAGATTTCAAAGATAATACAACACAATTTAACTAATTTTTTAAGAGCTTTAAAACCCATACCTTAAAAATAAGTTGATTTCATGCATTACTAAGTTAGAATATTAAAATTAAAATATTAACATTATAATTATTGTCCAAGATTTTAATCCAAAACCTAAATGAGTCAACTTGACCACTAGGAGAGACTATTTTCTTTATCAATGTTCTTAAAAAAAAATATAAAAGATAAATTATATTGTTTTTTTAAATGATTTAAGAAGAGTTGTCATCACTTTAAAATATAATCTTGCTTGATGTATTAATAAAATTATTTTAATGTGAACACAGAAAAATTAGAGTTATTAATTATTCTATTTTAGCAATTTAAACAAATATTTTTACGAACATTTTTTTTAATATTAGTCCAAATCTCGTAAGAAAAATCTAAAACCACCAAAATTGTTGTGAATAGTTACCATTCATATTTAATGCATTTATGTTAATTTTATTTTTCTTTAAGAATATATTTTTTAAGAATATACATTTCAAAAAAATAAAATAGTACATACTAAATTTACATTTCCACATTTACAGTTAATAATTTCTTTTATATGCTTTAACGGAAAAGTGGACTTATAAAAATATAAAAACAAAGTAAGTTTTAAAAATTTAATGCATTTAATTGATTATATGTTTAACGTATTTTAGTACAATTAAATATATAAAATAGAGTTATAAAAAAAAAGTATGAAATTCTGTTATTAATCACATATTTGTTTTTGAAAGACAGTAGAAAATAAATATATAAAATAGAGTTATAAAAAAAGTATGAAATTATGTTATTAATCACATATTTGTTTTTGAAAGACAGTAGAAAACCATATATTTCCGTCAAAAATATATAAGTACACATTACTTTGCAAAATTATCTGCAGATTAAATTGCATAAATTATTAGCTTTAGAGTACTAAGAATTAAGATTAAAATGTGCCGTTAAGCGTAAAATTCATAACTTTTTGAATTTTTTTTTATGAAGAAGGCTTGTATTATAAATTTTTAAAAGTCAATAAGTAAAAATGTGGTTACGTCTATTTAATTTTAGGGACTATATTATTTGTTAATTTTTAACTTTAAGAATTACTCATCATTTTATTTATTTTTAGAGATCAATTCAATATCTGATTTCAACTTTAGGTACTAAAATAACAATTTTAAGAATTATTCATCATTTTATTTATTTTTAGAGATCAATTTAATAGTTGATTTAAACTTTTGGTACAAAAATAATTAATAGTATTTAATTTTATAAATTATTTATCATTCGATTGTTTCTGGAGATTAATTGGACAAGCTGTTATAACTTTAAGAAATAAATATATAATTCACTCAACAAATACATGCCTGGTTGCTTATTTTTAGATACTACATTTTTATCTTATGTTACGATTTAAAAAAAAATTGATAATATACACGTTATGAATTATTTTTAGAGTGAATCTTCCTGCACCTCTCTCACCTCAGCCTGCACCCCCAAATTTACTTATTTACCTTTTTTCTAATAAATAAATTAATTTTTTTTAACCCAAAGAGTAACCACCGCACTTCGAAGTGCGTTTTGCATTTTATAGCCGCACTTTGAAGTGCGGTTACTAAACACTTGCCACCTGGGAGCACTGTATCTAACACCTACCATTGCACAATAACTACTTCACTCTCTAAATTTATATTATATATCTTTTCTCCTTCCACCGTCAAACTCCCTCGAGGTCACCATCATGCTGCATTCATTTCAAATGGGGACAGAAGAAGGAAACAAGATGAAGAAGAATTGCTTAGATTTATATCAAGTATATAATTGATTTCATTAATACGATAATATAAAAAATTAAATCAATTAAATAATATGATGATTAGTATAGGACCATTTGGAAGTGGCACGGCAAGGATCAGAGCCGCAGTCGCTGGAGGTGCACGCCGCATTTGGAAGTGCGGCAAACTTACAGAACCGGACTTCGATGTGCGGCCCGCTGGAGGTGCATGCCGCAGTTCGATCTGCGTTAAACGTAGCTGGAGGTGCACGCCGCAAACCGGACTTCGATGTGCGGCTCGCTGGAGGTGCATGCCGCAGTTCGATCTGCGGCAAACGTAGCTGGAGGTGCACGCCGCAAACCGGACTTCGATGTGCGGCTCGCTGGAGGTGCATGCCGCAGTTCGATCTGCGGCAAACTTAGGACTTCGATATGCTGCAAAAAATGTCTTTTTTAATATAGATAATTTTTTAATTCAACATAATATATGTAACACTCTTTCTTTGAATTTAATTGAATCTGTGGTTTGATCACTTCGTGTTGTTGGCATAATCCATGAAAAAAAAATTTAAAATAAATAATCATAACATAAAACAATAAATTTAAATTAAAAATAATAACATAATAACAAAAACATAAAAAAAATATCAAAAAACATGTAAAAAATTGGAAAAGAGATTGCAGGAATTTAACTTAAAAAAAAAACCATGCTCTGGAATATCAATAACCGCACTTCAAAGTGCGGCTACAAAATGCAAAACGCACTTCAAATTGCGGTGGCTACTTTTTGTGGGGTTAAAAAAATTTAATTTATTTATTAAAGAAAGGGTAAATAGGTAAATTTGGGGGTGCAGGATGAGGTGAGGGAGGTGCAGGAAGATTCACTCTTATTTTTATTATTTTTTTAATTTTGAAGTACAATTTGAGTGATAATTGTAACCCACATAATCGATATTTTACTTTATAAATGTTTGTCGAATGCAACCCACATAACATATTTTTTTTGGTAGATTTTTTTTATTTACATTCTTATGAATATTAATATCCACATATTAAACTATTATTATAAATAAATTTTTACTTCTTAAGTTAAAATTTATAGAAAACAATTCAGAAATTAAATTAAAAATATGTAACATTGTTGGATCAGTGAGTTCCTATGTTTTGGGCTTAAAAATGATTACATACGTAGGGCAAGAAATCCACGACACTGTTTGCACCTTCTGTAATCAACTTTCTTCTCTCTCTTCTCTTTCCTTCTTCTCTCACTCACTCTCTCGAGGCAAGTTCTCTCTCTCTCTCTCTCTCTCTCTCTCTCTCTGCTTCTGAGTGTTAGCTTTCCATTTTGTACGATTTGCAGCCTGTGCCATCGTGACGCGATTTTGAGAAACTTTTTTGTGTTTCTTTTGTGATTCGAAGATACCCTTTTGCCGCGTGGCATTTTTTGTATATTACTTTTTGTTATACTCACTCTTAGATTCACCTCTTCAATTGGGTAACTGAGTTTTTCACGAGTTCGATCGAGTAGGAGATAAAGTTTGGATTTTTACGCAATTCGCACTTCGTTTCAGAAAGCCCCAATTTTTTTTCCGCCTGAATCTTGATTTGCTATGAATTTGTTTTTTAATAGCAAATGAATCTCGAGCTTCTTAGTGGAAAGTTTTGTTGCATGTTCAAATTGGAATGCATACAGAAGAGAAGATGCAGATATATTGGTTACATGTTTCTTATTTATTTTAATTTTTATTTCCTTTTTTTATTTGTGTTTTGCTTAGGTAATTTGCAATGGCTGAACCTTCCAAGGTCATTCACGTCCGAAATGTGGGGCATGAGATATCTGAAGTAAATTATTTCTCTCATTCTTACTCTGTTTTTGGTCTGTGTTTTGTAGTTACTTGTTTTTGTTATATGATCATGTCATTGCTTTAACATGGCATAGTTTCACTAGCTTCGGCGCTGTCATGGCCAGAATGGTAACTTCTGTAATATTTACTCTTCCTGGAAAGAAAGTGACAATAGCTGTTTTTGTGTAATTAGTTCTACACTTTCCGTTTCAGTTATTGATTATAACAGGTTTTTGTTGCTATACTTGGATCTCTCTAGTGGTAAAACAACCGTTCCTTGCTAACCGAACCTGCTAACTTAGGTAGTGGGTATATCAAACAATGTTGGACAGTATTAACTAAAAATTACTTGTTCTATTCAACATCATTAGCTATATTTATAAAAGGAAGCTGCAAGATCATGTCAGTAACGAAACTTCTGGTAATAACATGTAGTTAACTGTAAATCTTTTCATAGTTCGTTTCAGAAACAGTTATACATTATTTGTTGTGTTGCCACGGCACTCTATATTTCTTCTAGTTCAGTATGATCTGAATATTCCAGACACCCAGACACAGCTATCTCTAGCGAAATGTGAAAGCAAATGAACATTGATTTCAGAAATTGCGTTAATAATTTCTGATATGAAGTGTCGTTTTGCGATCGTAATCTAAATTACTATTACCGATCTATTGAGTACTACAATCCAAATGAAACAGTAAAATCTTATCAGAGGGTCTTTGATGTCAGGTCACGGAAAAAAGGAAAAAAGTTGATTTTGGAATACGTTTTAAATGAAAGAGGGATTTACAAAAGTACACACCATAGCAAACAGAAGTCCAAAATGCCAGCCTGTAATAGAATACAGGATGTTTGTTTACTGTGTATTGCTGACAACCGGAAAGTGTATGATAACATTTTCTAAAATTGCTTATTGAGTTGTAGTCACCGTATTCCAAGAGTCATAAAGTAATTGAATGCCAACAACCAATACTTTTATGTTGTTTTTATGTTTACTCATTTGTTTGAGGGAGGAGATTGTTGAGCTATACTGGAATGGAATATATGTCTGCTGATGTGCAAACAAATCCTTTTGATTATATTCGAGGAATCAATTTGCAATTGCTGTTCTCACAATTAATTGAAATTCTTAAAATCTTTCTATCTCTATCATGGGATAATATTTATGAAGGATGGAGGAAGAATGATATAGGATCTCAGTATGGGGAATATTATTCATAAAAATAGAAGATTTTTTTTAAAACATAAAGCATTCATGGCACTCCAGACCTCTAGAAAATATAACTTTGAATCTACTTAAAACTTTGTTGATGTTAAAGGATCTTCTTCAGTGCTTGTTTATGTCAAATGTAGATTCCCTCTTAGTATGTTAGGTGGGGTGGGGTCCACTTAAAGACGACACTGGCTGATTATCAAAGATGATGTGAATGAACAATTCTTTCCCATTTTCTGCCGAGTTTAAATTTATCAAGTGATATATAAGTCATAACTCATGTGGTTGCAGAATGATTTGCTTCAGCTATTTCAGCCTTTTGGAGTCATAACAAAGCTTGTTATGTTGCGTGCCAAAAATCAGGTTGGTGTTCTTACTTCGAAATAAAATTTTCTGTTTTCCTTAGATTCTGGGAAATGTAGGCTGTTTTGTTTTATCATTTTTTTTTTATTTGTATAATCTATTGCACTTGTAGGCACTTCTTCAAATGCAAGATATTCCTTCTGCAGTTAATGCTTTACAATTTTATTCAAATGTTCAGCCAAGCATAAGGTACAAATAGATTATCTTTTCACAATTGAATTTTTTTGTGGTTTACTTGAATACAACTACCTCTTGTCCTATTTATAAGAATAAGAACCCACTTTCAACTGTATTAATTGGTAACTGTCTTTTATATCCTTAATTTATGTATGAAGTCTATTAATGAAACATTGACTCATTTCCCAACAAAGTAGATGCATTCATTGGCCTATTAGCAATACAAGTCAACCATTGGTTAAAACAATTATCCCTTGAGTTATGAATAATATAATTAAATATAACCATTAACCTTTACTGAAGCCATTTTCGGGGGTTATTCAACTTTTTTTGTTGGTCCTGATGGATTAGGTATTTTGTTCTTATATATTGTAAGAAAGGTAGTATTTTGATAACTTGATATTGGACGTCTTGTTAAGAGATTTGAAAAGCATTATTAGTTCCCATTGTTTCTAAGAAATTATTATTCTTTTCATAGTTGTCTTATTGTTTTATTGTAGGGGGAGAAATGTTTATGTTCAGTTTTCCTCACATCAAGAACTAACTACAATGGATCAAAATCAAGCACGAGAGGATGAGGTTGGTATTTTTTGTGTTTTTTTTTTCTTTAAACGGAAAATATATGCCTCAACTTGTGGCAAAAACTGAATATTTACCTACCCTTTTTCATTTACCATATGTATTCTTTATATTTATGCGTTGTTTTGTCCCCATAATATATATGTATATTGTTCTCAGACTTTGTATTGCAATAAGTATAGTGTTGATTTCTTTTGTTCTGTAGTTTTCTTTCTCTTTATCACGAACTTCTCTATTTATTCTCCTTTCTCTTTCTCTCTTCTCTTTCTCTATGCTGTCTGCTGTCGGCAACTCTCTGGATGCACAGCCAAATCGAATTCTCTTAGTTACAGTTCATCACATGCTGTATCCTATAACAGCGGATGTCCTACATCAAGTGTTTTCTCCCCATGGATTTGTGGAAAAGATTGTAACCTTTCAGAAGTCAGCTGGTCAGATTCTCTCAGATTTCTTCCTCTCTCTTTCTTTTCCTTTTAAGATTTCTTTTTGTCTTTGGGGCCTAAATGGATTGAATTGAATAGAGGATATATTGGGTTCATGTAATAATTTCTTTTGCATTATGTAAATATATGTTTTGGTAGATAAATAGGAAAATGAGTTCGTTGATATGAATGAAATTAAGTTTTTCGTTTTTCAATGTGTCAGTGTCTCATTTTTTTTTTCTTTTCACAGTATACATATACCCTGTTATTAGATAAGACTATTGAGGAACAAGGACCATCACTGCATTTTTTTTATGGAAGAAGACTGTCTTCCTATCATAGTTAATTGGTTGATGTTTTGTGCATGTGTTGTATTACTGGTTTCATCTCGTGTTTAAAAACTGTGTAGGCTTTCAGGCTCTCATCCAGTATCAATCCCGTCAAAGTGCTGTTGCTGCCAGAAGTACACTACAGGTTGTTTTGCATTTACATGGAGTTTGTGGCATTACTTGGCTTGTTAATTTCTGACGATATATTTTTTTATTTGATGATTGTACTTCTGACAATTTATAGGGACGCAATATTTATGATGGTTGTTGTCAGCTGGACATTCAATACTCAAAGTAAGTTAACTTTATCTCAGCAATTTCATTCCATTGTGATTTTTGGGTTTAGTGACTTGTGTTATTCTTCTATGCTGCTGATTAATCTTGTATCCCCCATCTTTCTGCCTTGCCTTTATTTATTTATGGTTGGATAATAATTCATATTCATTGCAGCCTTGATGAACTACAAGTGAACTACAATAATGATCGTTCAAGGTGTGACTCAATTGGTTCTTTATTTCTAGTCCTTTTAAACACTGTCTCTTTTATATCGTCGTAATTATTATAATGAGTTTATTCCTCATGCTCCACAGGGACTTCACGAACCCAAATCTGCCTACTGAACAGAAAGGTCGATCTTCACAAGTATGTTGTTTCACTTGTTTATTTATGAATCAAATCTTGATCATTGTCAAATACTTAACTAAAATGTTTTTTAACTTCATCTTTCATCTTCTATGAAATAGCCTGGATATGGTGATGCAGGAGGCATGTATTCTGGAGCAAGGACAGGTGCTAAATATTTTAAGTTGCTTTGGTTGGTTTACTTTGTTTGTTATTGTTTATTTCTTTGTATAACTAATATTTTTCGTTTGCTCTTTACAGCTGGATTCTCACAGGTGGATATTTTCAAGTCAAGTTGACGTCACTTTTGCGATTAGTGATTTGCAGTGGAATATACGATGAAGTTATCAACTTATCATCAATTTACATATTGTGAAAAGTAGCATTATAAATGTCTAGCGGATTAGTGGTTGATCTCTTTTTACTATATAGATATTTTAAAATCTAAATGTGGTAAATACTTGATTTCATAATTGTTACCCTACAAAAGGTGAGATTTTGAGTTTGCTGATCTTTGGCAAAGTAATTTCCAATGGGGCTTTATATTTTATTTAATTTTTCAAATGAAGTTTCACTGAAAATGTTTGTTGGCCCTTCTGCTCTGTGATCAGCTTGGGATTTTCGTCCTTTTTGTGATAAATCACAGTCATATATTATGAATCTGTTATGTTTTTCTTTATAAGTTGAGTGTTGATGTGCATCACTTGAATGGTTTTTTCTTCCCATTTATTTTTAAAGCATGTTTGGCTTAGCTTAATTGTTTGAATTTTTTTTTTTTAAGCTCAGTTGATTTTGATTCTAAATCATTCTGGACATAAAATATGCCAACATCAATAAGGCGTGCTAACTTGTTTTTGAATTTTAGATGGCCAATGCTGCTGCAATTGCAGCTGCCTTTGGGGGAGGTTTGCCTCCTGGCATAACTGGAACAAATGAAAGGTGTACAATTCTTGTTGCGAATCTCAGTCCTGATGTAAGTACATTGCCTTGATCTCTCTTCCCTTTTTCCATAAAGTTCTCTACACTTTTCTAAATTATATTTGGCTTGTAATTTGTTTTTATTCAGAGAATAGACGAAGATAAACTGTTCAATTTGTTCTCCATTTATGGGAACATTGTCAGGATTAAACTACTCCGAAATAAGCCTGACCATGCACTTATCCAGATGGGGGATGGTTTCCAAGCTGAATTAGCGGTACATTTTCTGAAGGTTTGTTTCTTGTACACCTTACTGGTTATATACATCTTTAATTAGATCTTGTGATATCTTCACTAACATTAAAGGTTATTATTGTGCCTGTAGATTTATTATATTTGTTGTTTATGCAATAAGATATTATGCTTACTAGTCTTCTCTTTTTTGAACTTACTCGGAAACAATTCATCCATATTCATATTTTATTTTTGAAACAACTAATACACAAGTGCTTATTCAATAAGTGCTTAATTAAGCACTTTACCAATACACATCCTTAGTGGAGAGAGATCATTACTATGCTTAATATAAATTATGTTCAACCTTCTAGACAATAATGCCTACGTGTTCTAAATGTATTGAACATGATATATACATGAAAAAACTGTCTCTTAAGCATATTTTTTCAAACACCTTTTTTCCTGTCTAAACCTTGAAGTTTCCATCTAGCATTTCAGCTGGGGAGGATAAGCTCTTTCTGTTGACTTGAGTTCATAAACCTCTTTTTTATATTCTCCCTTTTTGTGATCTTTGACATCTTGTTCCTGGTCTATCCTAATAGGAAAAAAATTATGTTCTTTTTGCATTGGAGAAACTTCTTTCTGTTTCCTTGGTTTGTTGCTCCTCTTTCCTGGTGGTGGCACCTATTTCCTCTTGCTTGACAGGCACTGCATCCAGCTGCAGCTCAACAGTCAAAAGCCATTTTGGTTTTACCTGAATATTAGTCATAATATTGATTCTTCTGTTAATGATAGATGTTTTTTAAAGTTTATCTTCTCTAAATATTCACATTTAAGCATTCATACCTAAAAGTGAAATGGAATCCATTACCATATCCTGATATTTTTCCCACTAGCCCATTAAAAATATTACCCAACTTTTACTTGTAATTTAATTGTTAATTTTTAATATAGTAATGGTTTTATTTTCTTGTTACCTTTGCATGCATTATCCAGCGATACTGAATTTGAAATTTGTATTTTGTAAGGAGATGATATTTTTGTCTCATGACTGTTTATTCTTAACAGATTGTGCTAATAAAAAACTTATACTCATTTTTATTTGTTTATTCTTTATTCTACTGGTATTGTTTGGCATGCAATGTTGATTTCTTCAATGATTAGTTTTGATAGAGATTATGGTTATAATATCCTAATAAGCTGATTTTTTTAATGCGAAATTTTAATGAGTTAAACAGTATCTTTAATTAATGGTTTGTGCTACTCCCATCAGAAAGTAGAAAATGGAGAACTGTTTGATTAAAACTGGATTGTTAGCCAATTGAATCGAGATTATAAGCTGGTGCTATTGCACATTACATTGAACATGATAGATCCTCTAGTTGTCTACAAAACATTTGTGTTTATTTGATGTATTTATTCTCCATAGTTGCTGCCTGCAATTTAATCAGGCACTTTTTCAGCTCTAGCTTTAAGCTACTCACTAAAACCTTTTCAATTTAAAACACAGGGAGCCATGTTGTTTGGGAAGCGGTTGGAAGTCAACTATTCAAAGTTTGCAAACATATCCCAAGGTGCTGATACACACGAGTATGTCAATTCAAATCTCAATCGATTCAACCGAAATGCTGCAAAGAATTATCGGTATTGCTGCTCCCCAACAAAAATGATCCACTTGTCCACCCTCCCACAAGACATAACTGAAGATGAGATTGTAAGCCTTTTGGAGGAACATGGTAACATTGTCAACTGCAAAGTCTTTGAGATGAATGGTAAAAAACAGTCACTTGTTCAATTTGAGACTGAGGAGCAGGCTACTGAAGCCCTTGTGTGCAAACATGCAAGTCCACTTTCTGGATCGGTTGTCCGTATCTCCTTTTCTCAGTTGCAGAATATATGAGCATAATAACTGAAGGAAAACCGATTTATGGTTGCTACTTGCTAAGCTTATTAGGTTCTGAATTTGGGAAGGATAATTTTTATGCTGATTATGTCACCCTCATTGTCATTGTAATGGTCTCTTTGCTTGCTAATTTACTGATAAAACCTGCTCTACTTTTTCTCTTTGAATCATTTCTCTCCTCATTTGCCTCTACTAGATTTTTAGGTTGCTAACATAAAGTAGTGGGGCAAGCTTTATTATTGCAGACGGATGTCGCCTTGAAGAATAGAAAAGAGAGGGAAGTTAAGTTACTACCTTCTTCAGAGTTGAGGGATTCTCTTATGGTTGTTCTTATTATGATTGTTGTATATGCTCTGTAATTCAGGCTAAGTAGGTCTTTCTGTTGTATTCTCAATCCATTTCAATTTTCTTGTCCAGCTAAGTGAAAAACTACATTTTTGTTTTGGTTTGTTTATTCCTATCTGCACTTTGTAGAAGCTACATGGTTCTCTCTTCCTCTCTTTCATGTCCTACCCTTCTCTTCCCTTTCCTTCCTCCTTGCATGTTCAAGGATTGAGAACATTTTCTTTATTTCCTCTCCTTTTAGATTCTCATCTTTTCTTTCTTATCTCTCCATCTCAACCTTCAATGAAAGAATGTAAAATTCTCATTAAGTAAATAAAAGGACCTCTTATTTTATGCAATCTTTGCTAGATATGCATGGTTTTTCTCTAATTTCTTTTATATATGGACAAATTTATGAATTGCTCCTATGCTTCCTGAGGCTATGTTTGGATTTCTGGTAGGAAGTAGAGTGGATAAAAAGTTTACACCATTTATGAGTTTATGAAACTAAAGGATAGCATCCAATCAGTCTTCTTCCATTCTTTTCTGGTACATGTCTTTGTGATTTAATGGTTAATCCGTGCATAGGACTGTAAGAGTTTTAAGGAGTTCTCAGGTTTATTATTTTGTATTGATTTAATTATATATGTAATTTAATTTCTATAGTTACAAGTTTAGTCCATACATTTAAAGAGAAAAACTTTATGGATTGGTATATTGAAATGGTATACACTGTGATTCAATTATGAACTGTTATATATATGGTAAGTTTAATTCATGTATTTTAAAAAAATATGTATGTCATCTATTTAAAAACTATCATCAGTTTGTTGATCCTTATAACAATTACTTTTCAAGGACAGTTTGTTGACAAGTTGGTTCTAGATGAGATAAAATGACTATTTTATTATGTCAATTAATACTTTGATGCACATACACTAGTTGAATTATTTATTTTCATTTTTTAATGTAATATTCAAGGAAAACGTCTTAACAAAAATCAATGAAATAGTTGACGATATTTTATTATTCTTGTTTTTATTAGTATTGTTATGATTTTTATATATATCACTCATTATTACAAACTATAATTATTTTTTATTTTGTATCACTCCTATTATTCTATTATCATCGGCATTATTACTATTATCGTCTTCATATCATTACATTTATTGGAAAACTATTATTTATAGCCGTTAACAATATATCACTTCTTCATTGTGATCACAATAAATAGTATAATCACCAGCATCTTAGTCATATTTTTATCATATTTTTTTAATTATACCGTAAAGATTAACAATGAGTAAAATTATATGTAAGGATTTAAAAAATAAAAAATTCATCCCAGTATAATTAAAATTATATGTTTTTTTTAATAAGAATAAAGATCAATGAAATGAAACTAAACCTTATCTTAGAATAATTAGTTCTATTTATCATCAATAACTTAAGTAGGGTGTAGTGTGCTAAACAATTTATGAGTTGTACTTAGCTTAAGTAGGGTATAGTGTGCTAAACAATTTATGAGTTGTACTTAGCTTAAGTAGGGTGTAGTTTGCTAAACAATTTATGAGTTGTACTTAGCTTAAGTAGAGTGTAGTGTGCTAAACAATTTATGAGTTATACTTTTAATTGTACTCAGTTCTTTATTTATGTATCTCTTATTCTTTCTTGTACTTTTCTATCATATTTTCATTATATAGAAGATTGTAAGTGAAATATCAAAAACCCTCTAAAAGATATTTATCTGTCTTGCCTTGTTCGTTTGACACTAGTCATCTCTATCTGTAATTGTCCAACATAATTTTTGTTGTCTGCCATTGTCCGGTGTTGTTTCACTACTATCCAACCCTATTTGTAATTGTACTTTGCAGTTTGAAATTGTCCAACAATGTCAATCACTGTCCTTTATTGTTTCGTTGTAGTTCATCGTCGTTTGTCGCCTTTTGCCATTGTAGTTTCATTAGGAAACCATTGGATCAAGATTGACTCTCCACACAATGACTAACCCGTCGGTGCCAAAGGCTAGTTCTCCTCCATGCACTGCCACATGCATAATCTTTGTACGTTGCGAATAGGCATGTGTTGTCCATGCACGCCATTTGCTCTTCAGAACACGTCACCTTTATAGTTGTTGCCAGATCCCCCTCTCTATGTTTTGACCCTCAAAACTTTATTTTAGTGAAGTCCAGAAGCAACCTTTGTGGAAGTCAGTTAAGGTTTCTTTCTTCCTTGGTTGTTTTTGTTGGAACAATCGGTACCGTTATAGAGTCGCGCAGCGGAATAAAATA